ATTTTGATAAAATTAGTGAATTGTCACTTAAAAAGTGAATAAAAATTACTGGTCCCATGAAATGAGCGATTAAAATTAATTATCGATGATTTTGACATCATCTTTTTTAACAATTTTTTAAACTTTCTCAAACAAGGACTTGGAGAAGATGCAAGTGGATACACAAACCTAATTGATAAAATGGCTGACATGTGAACAATTTATGGGTGGTGAATTATGCACTAATATGAATTATTTTAGATAGAAGACTATTCAACTATTCAAAATACTCAGTAATTAACGTGATAACCCTTGGGCTTATAAATTTATATTACTTCGTCCCCTCAAATTTTATATAAAATTAACAGTTTATACCACCATTTTTACTTTCCCACAAACTGATATGCGCTCACTACAACAAAATATACTTTTTACGGCATGCAACTCTAAATAAAATTTCACATTGCATAAGCCACAACTCTAAATAAAAGATAGCAGTTGCCTAACCTAGAAACCCAAAGAACGTCGTTGAGATTCAAAAATTTAAGGGTGTGTTTGATGGATATTATTAAGGAAATAATGTATTTTAAATAGTAATATGCTGAGAAATATATGGTTAAAAAATAAAGATGGAAAATATTATGTTATTGAAGAATGTGTGGTTGAAACTGAGTTTTGAAATAACGTATTTTGAAAGCATGTGTACCAAATATGGGCTAATATCCAAAATGGAGAAAGAAATTTTGATAAAACCTATACAAAAAGAACTCATAAAAGAGAAGAATGAAAAATATTTAGGAATCAAAAAATAGCTTCAAAAGTGATAGCTGATTATATAGAATAAGTAGAAATATTTTTATCTTCTCAAATTATCTATTTAATTCTACAATTTAGTATTAAAATTTCCATCTTCCAACAAGGGAGGAGGATCAAGAAGATGAATACTCATAAGAGATAATTAAGGATGATAATTTAATTAAATTTTTTAAACTATACCTTGAATGTGGACTGGGCTGAAGAAGGTTGAATCCTGGCCTTCTTGGCTACCCCACCTGTGGCTGTGTTGTTGCACTTCACAAAAGTAAAAGATGATAAAAGTAATCAAAAACACCTTTCAAATGAGTTTTTTTTTGGAATAATGTATTGTGGAATAGTGATTTGTTTTAAGAATGTGTGGTTAAAAAATAAAGAAATTTTTTGGATTTACGTGTATATTATTTTATTGAAGAATGTGTAGTTGATAAGAAGAGAAAAAAAATAAATTATAATTTTAATGGAGCCATACAAGGGCTAAGCACAACTAATGTTCATCTTTTCACAAATCACAGAACCTTAAAAAATCTCAATTTTTGTGTACATACATCAGACGAACGATCTGGCTGTGGATGTTTCAGATCTGGATTGTTAGAAAAATCCATCATGTTATTTCTCAAAGCGGTGACACACGACTTCGGAGATAAAGCTGCAGGAATCATTTGAGACCAAGAAGTAGGTTTTGAAGCTTGAAACTCCAAATTTCCATGCCCAAGAAAATAATCACTTTTTGAGCTTAGTTCTTGCTTTACATCAACATTTGCAGAGCCATTGGAAGTCTGCTGATTCAGCAGTTGTTCTATATATTCGACCTTTTTCGCCTGCAAATGGCTCAAACTAGGCTTCTCTTCTTCACCAACCAACCCCCCTCTGCACCACCCAAAAGCACAAAAAATTATATATAATAGTGAACTATATAAATATGATTTCTTGAACTATACATATATAGTGCTCCATTAATTAAGAAGGAAATATAAGTCTATGTTATTATGAACAAGAAAAATGAAAATCTTAATCTTTTTGGGTGCATGAAATGGAAATTATATACAAGTACTGAACACCCACAAGCCTATAACACACGTATTTACGTATATATGTGTGTAGAGAGAAAGAGAGAGAGAATTACAGTAGTTGGCTCCATGATTCAGGAAGTTCCTGGCTATCATTCCATGAAGAAGGATATGGTGCAGTGAACTGAGGTACATAATTCAAAGGTGGATTTATAAAAGATTGTGGCAGAAGGGAGGGAGGCCTTGTATTATTATCCATCGTCCACGGCCAGTTGGGGCTGCCGGCAGCCACCATCTTTTGCACCGGTGAGCTCTGCAAAACACCTCTATTCATAGCTTGTCTCTATTTGCAACATTCAAGATAATAATTATAGCCCTCCCTGCCTATTTATTTCTTTCACTTTCTCTCATAAATTGACTTTTTATCTCCCTTTCTTTTTCACTTTACTTTTCTAAGAGCTCTTGAAGCTCCCAAAGAAGGCTTTGAAAAAACTTTGCAAGGTCTCCTCTAGTCTTGATTAAGTAGGGGAAGATAAGTAGAGAGAGAAAGAGAGACAATGAAGGGTTTTGAGAACCTTTGTCTTAATGTACTCTCTCTTTCTTTCTTTATTAACTTTTCTTTTCCTTTTCTTTCTTTCTTGCTCTCTTTTAATGATTTTTCTTTTCTTTGCTTTTCTCTTACTTTTGCTTTATCTCTAAAGTGGGCAATAAAGGTTCCCCTTATTTTCCTCCAATAATAAATAAATTAATTAATTTTGAAGATAAAAGGTTAATTTTTCTATTTGACATTTCAAAAACAAATGGTTATTTAAAACTTCAAAAAAAAAAAAAAAAAGCTTCTGACATTAGGGCTCACCATGTTGTCTTGGACTCGTCTAAGTGAAAAGTTAGCATGCTACATTACAAATATCTATTAGTTTTTCTAAAAATGAGAATATTCATCGTACTCAATTTATCTTCTTTTTCACCCCTAGCCCATCTCTCCACATCGGTGCCCCCTTCTTCTCACCAATACTTCGCTCTCCTTCCACCGTCTTTCATCACCTATCCTCCTGATCCTTCAAAGGCTCTCAAGCTCCGGAGGAGCTGGAGCATTGCAAGGGCGCATGGAGGTAGAGGGGAACAACAAACAATGCGAAAAAGGGGAACTTTTGAAATAAAGAGAATAAATAGTGACGCAGGGATAGGGCAGGTCTTCAGGAAGAAGAGAAGGCATAGTTGTGAATAAAAAAGTTTTAGTTTAATTGCACAAATTAATAGAATAAGAACTCTAAAGTAATTAATTTCAACTGTGAATCTAATTTCTTCTTTATGCTATCATACCTCAAGTAGTAATTTGATATGAATTAAGAGTTGCAATCAATAAAAAAGGAGGCAAAACATAAAAATAGCCCAGTTGGTACATTATTGGTTACCATTTTCATCAAAGTTTGGTGGGCAAATAAATGCAACATGCTACATGTGTGTGTGTATATATATATGGGGAGCATTCCTTGTACTCTGAGTCCTTAATTTAAGTGGATCTAATGGACAACTTTTTATTTCGTTAAAACAATTTAAAATTTTCAAATAGGTCCGTCCAACACCAATTAGGCAAATACCCTCCCGACCCTCCATAAATCTCTCTCTCTCTCTCTCTGTGTACATATATGCATATATACATTTACATATTGAACTTGTAATACACGGTTTATATATACACATATTATTGGTATTTTTTATTGGCTAGATAGAAATTGAAATGGATTCACACTTTTTGTGAATTTTCAAATTCTTGAAAGGGAATTAATTTGAAATTTAGTCCTTGGCCCAAATAAGATGTTTATCAAAGAATGTAGGTTTCAAAATACCTTTCTAGAACTCAAGTTGAAGGTTTCTAGTAAATTCAACATGAGCCCTCCTCTCTCTCTCTCCCCCCCC